AGATCCCCTTTTGTTGCCAGTTCAGTGGGTCCAGGTGGTTGAGTATCAGAGTGTTCCATCTCATTTCCCTTTGGGGTTGCTGTAGGTTATCTGGAAGTCTGGTTTTGAGACTTATTTACGTGTTTTCTCATTTTGACTAGGGAGGTGTGTTGATGCCTGCACGGATTACCTTCTCTGAGCTGGGAGAGGTGGGACAGGGGCCGGGAGCAGCAGGAGGGATGGTGGCCAGGAAACCTCTTCCTCTGGGCTGGGAGCAGCGGGAATGATGGTGGCCAGGAAGCCCCTTCTTCTGGACCAGGAGCAGTGGGACGGAGGCTCAGAAGCCCCTACCTCTGGGCCGGGAGCAGCAGGATTCAGTACCGTGGTCTGGTGGTCAAGTGTCCTCTGTGTCTTCGTAGTGTGGAACCAGGTGGCTGCCTGTCTGCAGTGGGCTGATTCAGCTTGTTCCCGGCCCTGCTAATTTTTGAAAGGCTGTTGTCAAAGCCAAGTGGAGCTGTCAATCAGGGAAGTCACGTGAGGGTCCCAGGAGTCATCATGATTGCCTCACTCCAGGCTTTTGTTCCAGGAGTGAGGATGATATTTGCGAGCTGGTAGGCACCTTGTCCTGCCCACCTGTCCCTCATGCTTGCTGTGCACTTCTGGAGGGTTGGGACTGATGGGGAGTCAGAGGCTCAATAGGGGCAGTGACGGGTCTTTGACTACAGTGGCAGGGCCAGGGAACAGGCAGCTCCTGCTCCAGGCTCTTTACCTCCTGTAGGCCACTTTCACCCTGTTGGTGATGAGGCCAGCTTCAGCCTGCTGCAGATCCATTTCCTTCTCTGTAAATGCCTTTTTCTGTTTTCATGATCTATCCAAGGTCCTGTGGCCAAAAGATCCCAGGGTGAGGGCCCAAACCAGGCCTCATGTGCTACTATTCCTCACTCTGTAAGGGAAGGACACAGGAAGGATCAGAGCCATGGAGGAGAGGAAAAGGACTTCTGAAATCAAAGCTCATGTTCCTAAGTACTTACAGTGCCCCGGGCTAAGTTGTACTTTGTAGTACTACCTGGAAAGTAGGTACCGGAATCCTACCCATTTTACAAAGAGGAAGCAAGGCATGTCTTGATGAAGCACCTGCTTGGATCACCTACTTGGGCTGGGGTGGAGTTGGGATTCCAACCCAGGAGGCAGAATAGTAAGCCTGCCCTTAGTCACTTCACTCAACGACAGTGGCGTTAAATCTTTCATCTGTTTATATTAGACCTGGGGAAACTGAGGCCCTGCATATGAGTCATTTCCAGCAGGAATATTGGAAGCCGAACACCCACATGGCTCGGACCCTGTGAAGAGGTTCTGGGAGAGGGCTCCTTGGGTTGGCCCTTTGCTGTCTGTTTGTGACAAGCCCTTGACACCCTAAACAGTGGTGTCCTGGAGAAACAAGGATGATAGGCAGAGGCCCTGGCACAGTGGCTGTGACCAGATCAGAGAATGACTGGGAAGGAGAGGCTCAGGGATGGGGCTGTGCTTCATGCCCAGTCAGAAGAGCTCGCAGTGGGGCGAAGAGGGTACAGGGAATTTCTTGCTGGGGTGCACAGGACTGGCTTCTGCCTCTCACAGCTGAGCAAGTGCATGGCTGGGGTAGGACCACAGCAGCTAGGGGTTAGAGTTAATTTCCCATTCCCTGGTAAGAATTGAGCAGCTACATGTGCTCTGGAATTGTTAGCAAGTGTACAGCAAGTAGACACTGAACAGGCAGTGTTGCTGACTCCTGGGCAGAGGGGACTTGGGACATTAGGGCACTTCCTGTGGAGGACAGCAAAGGAGGCTTGGCGGAAATGATTTCCAAGATGAACCTTGAAATATGAAGAGGAGCAATGCAGGCAGAGGGAACAGCCTGGGCTAAGGCTCCGAGGTCAGTAAGATGTCACCTGTAAGATGAAAAGGAATGAGACTGTTTTTGTTTTCTTTGTATTGAGGTTGAATTCATGTAAAATAAAATCAACCACATTAATGTACAATTCAGTAGCACTGTGTACATCCACAGTGTTGTGCAACGGTCCCTTGTATAATTCTGTCACCTGTGTTTTCTACCTAGGCCTTGGTGGTTTCCTGCTCTAAATGCCAGTCTCACCATCCTAACAGCAGAGGTAGGAGTGGCCACGTTATGACAACCTGCATTCTGCTCACATGAGGTAATGTCTTATGCACAAACCACTGAGAGCTCAGAATGATGTGCCCATTTCTAGATGGGAGACACTGAACAAAACCAAAGAGATCTGTCTAAGGTCACTAGGTCTGGGGGCAGAGACAGGACTGTCAGGCAGGTGGTGTCTGAGGCTCACAGCTCAGCTCTGTGGCCCCAGTTATGAATTCTGACTCAGGGCTGGGGCCCAGGCATCTGTTTCTCTTGTAACAGCCCCAGATATGGATCTCCTTTTCCCAGCTCTTCTGGCAGGGGAGCTGGCCTTGCCTGGTCCAGACCCCAGGCCCAACGATCTGGGGCTATGCCAGCCCCAAGATGGGACCCTCAGGGGCAGTAGATGGTGGGCTGGCAGCATGAGGGTGGCAGGCATAGGGCAAAGGGGTAGGCAGGTGGAGCGGGGAGCCAGCCCAGCCAGCCACAGGACAAAGGCCTCCCTGCCAGGTGGGTGTGGACCCCACTGACAAATGGGCCAAGGGTTCCCTCATTAATTTGTAGAGTGGTATGTAATAATAAAATGCTCCTTAAAGCTGGGCCATGGCATTAGTGACTGCTTTTTCAGGCCCTCATCAGGATCATTAACTGTGTATGAAAAGGTTTTATAAACAATGTTAAACTCCCTGAGCTTACAGTGCCCATGGCTTATAGCTCCCCGGGATACTCAGTTTGCAGAAGCCAACTGGAATGGTGTAGCCCAAAGGCCCAGGGTCCTGCTGTCACCCTCGGAGTCTCCCAGGCACCCAGGTGCCTTTGACTGGGTGGTGGGGTGTGGGATTGAGGGGCCCTCACTCCTAGTGGCAGTCAATGTCTGGGGAATGAATGGAGGGGTGATTCAGGTGAAGACAGCTGACTCTGCCGTGTCCTACATCTGCACCTGCAAGCTTTTCATAGACCCTTGCTAGGCGGCAGGCACCTCACCTGCAAAATACAGATATATGTTCCTGCAGTTTCTGGGGAAGATTTGGGGAAATGAAACACCTCAGTAAAGGGCTCCCAGGATGCCCTCCCTCTCTGCCCCCAGCAAAAGAGGAAGGTGGGCCTGGGCTGCTGATCCACAGAAAGGGGAAGATGGGGAAGCCGGACTTGCAGCTGGGCTTCAGAAGAAGGGCCAGGCCACTGGCTCCACTGGACAGGTTATGCTACTGCGAATCATCGTCACTTTTACTGTTGCCTGCTTTGCTCTGCACAGTCCAATCCTGGCAAACTTCAGGATTCCAGATCGGGATGCCCTATGGAAATGACTCCCCAGGACTCATGACCCCAGCTTGCCTTGGGCCACTCTGTAGATCTTGCTCTGTCCCTTCCCATGAGTGCCAAAGTGTGTTGGCAAGACTCGATGACCTGGTCTCACGGAAAGGGGAGCTATTATCCTCTGAGAGAGCCTCACAGCCATGACTCCTGGGGCAAATGGAGAAACTGAGGCACACAGCAGGGACAGGGCTGGCCAGGCTCCCAAAGTAGATGGCACGGTGCTGGAATTCACTGGGCTCCTACCTCCACCTGTCTTGTAGCTGGAAACAGCCAGCAGGTGAGTGTGCTGGGCTCTCCGAGCAAGGAAGATGTGGGGAATGGGGTGGCATGGTGCACCCCGCACCCTCACCCTTCAGCTACCTCCCTTAAATTTGTCTTTCCTCTCACAGCACAGTCAACTGAACATGCTCAACCTCAGGCATCTCTCACACAGCTAGAAGGAGTGGCAGGAAAGAGGTATAAGATTCTCTTTCAAAATGAAAAGAAAAGAAAATCCCTCCCTGCTCTTTAGCTTCCTCCCCTTCCCTCAGGGAAAAATATGGCTGGGAGATGTTCTTGGCAGCAGCTCTCCTCACGGCTCCTTCGGCTGTTTGTCTAGCTCCTCCCGGGCAGGCGCTGGGAATTTACAGCGTGGCCTCTCTGGAAGCAGCTTTGGAGGGGGAAGATGGCAGCATTTTCTTCTTGCTAATTTAAAACAATAATAATTGTTCACGCGTTAGGAAGCATTCCTATTAAATCAATCCAATCTTTCGGAACAACTGGAAGAGAACGCAGCCCAGTGTCCCAACTGGGCCCCCGCTGGAGTGGAGAGAGTCATTGCTTCATCGGGGTGGATGACAGCCAGCCCTGTGCTGGGCACTGCAGGGGGAAGGGGAAGTGACAAAGAAGACAGGGGTGACTCTGTTCTCATAGGGATGCGGAGGATGCGCTGGACATCTCTGGGGAACGGTGTGGGCTGTGGACAACCGGGGTCACCTTGGGAATCCGGAAGAGGGTAGAGCTCTGGGAGAGGCAGGGGTTTGGTTGGGCCACATTTGTCTGCCTGCAGCTCATGATGGAACCAAGACCAGAGAGGGTGGGAATGGGCACAGAGTGGACCAGAGGTGGGTTGGGCCAGGACAGAGACATGGGGCAGCAAAACCGGGCCTGGAACCTGGGTCCAGGCTGAAAAGGAGAAGCACAGGGGCTAGTCATTGATCTCCAGTTGAGGACAAACCCCAGTGCCTGGGCAGCTGGAGGAGGGTGGCCGGCTGGTGGCAGCCTGAGCAGGGCCAGGCTGGCTCTCAACACAGCACCTTGGCCCCACTGTGGGGCAGGCAGATGTCTGTGTGCAGCCTGGACACACACAGGGGTGCTCAGGGGAGGGGCCCCATGGTCACCTAGGAGATGCCCGGGAGCAAGGGGACAGGGCAATCTGTCCTTGAGAGGAAGATCTGTGCCACTGGGAAGGAGACTTGTCCATGTCCTCAAGCTGCCCGCTTACTGACGGCGACTTTGGGCTTCGCTGAGGCTGCTGGGGACTTGGAACTGGAGAGCACATCCTGACTGCCTGTGATGGATCTCACTGTGCCTATGGCCTGCGACAGCATAAACAGCACCCCTTTTAATCCCAAGACCCCACTTCGGCATGAGCTGCGGTTACCTGTGCTACCGTGCTGGTTTGAGCAGATGCATGGCCCCCCAGCAAGCCAGTCCTGACCACCTGCCCTTTCTCCTGGTATCAGCTGGGGTGAACTCTGGGACCCCTTTCTCTTGGAGCCCCCATCTGTCCTCCTTTCTCCAAGGAATCATCCTCTGCATGACATAAGAGTCTGTTTCCCGGAGTGGCTGCAACGCGATGTGGGTGAGAGGGAGCTTCGTGAGCCTTCCCGGCTCTGCAAGAGACCTTGGTCTCTTTGGCCTCTCTCCCTTATCTGTTTCGGTTTCTATCTCTCTCCAACTAGCTCTATCTCTCTTGCTCTTGCAGTCTGCCTCTGTCTCTGTGGGTCTCTCTCCCATCTCCTTTCATGTCTGTCCTGAGGATTTCAAGTGCCATTTAGAGCTGCAGTGGGGAGCCCAGAAACTCATCCTAGGGTGCAGCCTGGGTGGTAAAGACAGATGATGGGGCTCAGGGTAGGGAGAGGTGGCATGTCTATTTGTGCCTGTGAGAGCATTTTCCCCTTCAGGTCTAGGAGGAGGTCTTAGACTGGGATTACCAGAGAACAGCGCAGACTCCATGAAGAAAGAGGTGGGCTGTTTGGGAGGAGGAAGGTGACATGCTGCTTGCTCTGGTGATCAGAGTGCAGGGAGTATGCATTTACTCAGTGTACTAATGAAGCTTGGATCTGCATCACACTCAGTGTGTTTAGGAAACCAGCACAGTTGTCCTAGAGAAGTCTTTGAAGCCAAAGATTCACTGCTCCTATGAGAAAGGGTGCATTCCCCTTCCTAGAACTCATCTCCAGGTGGCCCCCAAAGGTAGCGAGCTCTCCATTGCTGGAGGAATGGGAGCGACCCAATGCCTGATCACTTGGTAGAGTTGCTGTACTGAGGTCCTTTCCAGGCCTGGGCTTTGAGGACTCCCCAACACTCCCTTTTCATTACCCTTCTGTTTCTGGCAGCCAGCTTCCTTGTGGATGAGTCAAAAGGCCTCCCTTGTGGCCTCTCCGAAGGGTGGGGTCCCGTGGAGCTGCCAAGGCCTCCCACCCCCACAGCACAGTGTCACCACTTTCACAGCCACCACCCTCCTGGAGCCAAGAAGTGAAGAAATTGGTTAAACAAGGAAGAGGTAAAAAATACACACAGGCAGGCACACACACGTGTGCAAGAGCCAGAGACTTGGTTTGGAATGAGAAAGGCCCCTTGCCCTGGCCTTTTATCCTAAGCCCATGGCGATGCATATTCTGACCTAATAATCCAAACAAGCTGTAATTGCAAACAGACCCTCTTCAGGCTGTGCAGGCAGCATGGTCGGGGAGAGAGCAGATTCAGTACCTGCTGAGCACAGCAGGCCAGGCCCACCCTCTGCCCTCGTTCTTCTCCTTCTGCTCCTCCTCCTCTGCCATCTCCTGGATTGATATGGCTGCCCAGCCTGCAGCATTTTGCTAGCCTGGCCAGCTGGAGCCATGCTCCCATTCTGCCCTCCCCAGGGACCCCAAGGGCTCCCTTGGCAGAGGAAACCACCCCACCCTCGGCTGAGAGAGGAGACCAGAGGTCCGCCCAAGTAACCACCAGGAGCTGCGAGGGCTGTTGCTCCCACCCGCCAGGACCCAGGGGAGATGCTCCTGGGTGGGACCCGAGACTGGAAGGGCTTCCTGTCCCTTCTCCACCCCACCTCCCTTTCTGTGTTTTGTTCCAGACACACCCTCAGCTCAGATTTGCTTGGAAGGCCAGTGATTTCCACTCTTTCTTTTCAAAACAACCACACAGTTCTGGGACCCAAATGTTGATTGTCCTCATGGAGGAATGAGTCTCTGTCCACAGCAAGAACATTCCAGAAATGTCCATCCAGCATCGTCAGTGCGCCAGACATCCAGGAGGGCCCACAGATGGACCACACCTTGTCCATGTTCCCAGGACGCTCCCTCCTACAAAACCACACACCCGATGATGGGCCAGGAGGTTAGTGTCTACCCTCTGTTATGGGGGACAGGAGCCCTGAGAAAGGCATGCTTCCACTGGGTTGGGGGAAGGTCGTAAAGGAATTTTAATTAAGTACTGGAACAAGAGGTGCATTTTGATGGACAGAGACCATGAAGGAGGGGTCTACCAGATGGCTAGAACAGCTTGGGTGAAGAAGGCTGGACACATTAGTAATGTTTTTGAGGATTGTCAGGGGGGCTGTTGGGGCTAGTACATGGGTCTGTGGCTCCATAGAGAGGGCCTGTGTAGGAACATGAAATGGGAAGGTAGGTGGTTTGAAGAACTTGCTAAGGAGCTGGACTTCAAGGGCCATGGGACCACTGGAGGGGCTGAAGCAGAGCAGAGGTACAGAGTTGCCCTTTTGGTGGCTGTGTTGGGGATGGACCAGGAAGAAGTGATCATGAGGGTAGGGGGCCATTAGGAGGGGGCCCAATGTCCAGGTGAGAGGAATATGAGTCTGGTGGAGACTAGGGCCTGGGGAGGAGGGGGAAGAGGAGAATCTGGGACAGTTTCTTCTCAGAATGGCCCTTACTGGATCCAGGACCTCACTTAGGTCCAGAGTGGAATTGTCAGAGGATGTCTAGGTTGATGACATTGGGTGCTGATTAGTCAGTTTTAAGACCAATGTCATTGTTCATATCTCTTCACTAATAGATACTTTTAGATTCATCAGCAGTTGCAAAGATTTGGTAGAATGGACACCTCACCCAGGGTCCCTGTGGTTACAGCTTGAGGAATCTGAGTACAATATCAAAAGAGACCAATGCCATTTGGGATTTGAGCCCACCCTGCCCTTGCCAGGAAAGCCTGTGGCTCTTGGCCTAGGCCAGGGGGACACAAACTGGCTTAGCCAATGGGTTGGCTTTCTGAAACTTTGACTAGTTTCAACCCAAGGTCCTTTCCTGGGCCTGAGGTCTGGGGCCAGCCCTGCCAGGGATGGCAAGTTTAGCACTAGTTGAGCAGCTTTGGGGTCAGAACCTGCAGGGCTTGGGTGAGCTGTTTTGACTCAAGTTTATGATAGAGAATTTGCCTCATTTCCCCCTTTGTCACTCTAGGTCTTGGATGAACCCAGAAACTGGCTCTGAGCCCCAACTTTCCCTGTTGGTCCATGCCACCCCTCTCCACCTTATACCAGACTCACCCTGGAGGGATGGCTGCCCCCTCCAAATCCCACCCCAGATTCCTAGCTGGCTCCAGAGACTCCGTGGAGTAGTGTGACTACCCACAGGGACCTAGCATCTCCAGGCTCCACCACAGCCAAGTTTAGCTCTGCACCCTGTCGCCCAGATGCTCCTGCTCACCAGCCTCCCAACCTCTCCCACCCAGTTCTTGCACCCTCAGAAGGGTGGCCTGAGAGAAGACGCCCTCCGAGCACCATGTCACCATGCTGTCCTTGTGCTTTTTACCAGGGAAGTCAAGGTCAAGCCCTGGGTGGGTGCTGGACTGGGAGACAGGATAGCTGGCCCTTGTTTGGCCCATCTCTGACTGCTCCATGACTCCAGGCAAGTTACTGAACTCAGCACCAGGGGTTGCAGAACTGACCACAGATGGCCTAGACTCAGCAGAAGAAATGACTGATGTGGGCAAGTTTTGGAAAGCAAAGTACTACAACAAATGAAAGTGTTTGGCCTAGGTGTTCGATTAGTTTCTAATTTTCTCTCAGTTTGATTTCACCTGATCCCTTTCCTTCCCCACGAAGGATAATTAATCATGAAACCACTTAGGGAGCTCCTACCATGTCCCAAGTACACTATCAACATCATTCCCAAAGTGAGAGATTTTACAGAAGAGGGGACCCAGGCTCAGATCGACAGAGGAGACTCTTCGTTCTCCCCTTGGACATCTGCGCTGGTTTCCTTCCTCCTGTGCAGTGTGGACTCTTACGAAGGTCCTGGGATCCACCCCTTGCCTGATGGATGTGCACACCATGCTGTGGACCTCTCCTAGCAGCTGGGGTGTGTGTGTGTGTGTGTGTGTGTGTAGGGGACAGAGGAGGGGACACAAAGTACCAGGACCCACAGCTTTCTGGGCTTCCTTGGTGAGTGAGCAGGAGCTTAGCTCATGGTTCTTTTCTATCCATGCCTGGTCATTTAAAAGTGCCAACTCTTAGTGTGCTTCTTTGGGAGCCCTACATCCCCTTCTCTCCATTTCCCTGTGTTAGTACCCTTGAAAACCAGCCCTGAGAATCTTCTCTTTTAAAGGGACACCTAGGGAGGCCATGAAAGCCAGGTGTCACTGTCCCGGCAGCCTGAGCGGTGTCCATGTGCAGCTGCCGCAGAGCTGGCCGTGTTGTCATGGTGAACTAGGCCAGGGGTCTCAGCTCACAGTGGCTCAAGGTCATCATCCATGTGCCAGCTACTCCAGATAATTCAGACTGTCCCTCTCCCATGGGAGACCCTTTTGGTCTCCCAAGTGTGGGGCCTAGTAGCTTCCTTCAGCCTTGATCTCTCTGCCTTCCTGCCTCTGTGGCTCAGCCTCCGCTCAGGGCCTGCCCTGCTCTGCACCTTGGCAGGTCCAGTAGCCAGACCAGTTGCCCGGGTTGGGGTGGCATTCCTGGTGTCCCTGCAGAGGACCCATCTATGTTGCTTTTGCCAGCTCCTGTGAGGGCCCGTGGCTTCCTAGCGTTCCACTTGGATTGTGCATCTGTCCTTGGAGCCTCTGGTCACTCCAGTGGCACCAGTGACCATGAAGTGGGCTGTGTGGTGAGCACTGCAACCTTGTGTGGCTATATGGGGTACTTTAGTTTTGCTTCCTTGGTAACATCTTCCGGTTTCCAACCTCTCAGTGTGGATTTCTGCATCATGAGCACCAAGACTGGCACCACCAGGAATATTTGCTGAGCAGGTAAATGAGGGCATTTAGGAAGATCCCTTGAGGAATAATAAGTGGTGGAGCCCAGTCTTCAGGAGCTGCAGGAATTTCCTAGGTGAATAAAGGGTGATGAAATCTGTGCCAGTAGAAGACACATGAGCAAGGACTTGGGGTGTAAGTGAGAGAGAGTGAGTACTGGGCAGCTAGTGGAGAAGCTCCCTGAGCTCATGAGTAAGGCAAGAACAGGCCGGAAATGGGGTGCAGGTGAGATCACTGGGAAAGAAAGGGTAAATTGGAGAATTCGGATAGCTCTGAAGGCCACACTTGGAGATTTAGACCCGAACTTGCTAAGAGTCACTGGGAATTTTTCAGAAAGGGAATGATAGTATTTTATTTACTTAGTTTTTAGGTCAGTTTCCATGGAAGTGAATAGAACACAGACTAATCTCGGGAATTCTAGAGCTAGGAGGATATCTGGAGCATTCAAAGGCACACAGGGTATAGCCTTTAAAAATACATATTTAATAAAGCCCCAAATAGCAATAAAAGGACCAGCAAACCTAAAGACAAGCTACAGTGAGAACAATGGATTTTCAAATTATTCTGTTATTTACATGGAATCAAAGAGATCACCTTCCTGGAAGGACCCGCCTGTTAATTCCAGTGGCGATACTGGAGTGGATTGAACTCTACTTTACTTTTTGCTAGATCAAAATAATTTGATGTTTTCATGAGCGGCTCATGCAGCCATCAGAAGATAATTATTCAGGAAATAAAGAGTGAGTCTCTTAGCCTTATTAAAATGGCACACCGGATTTTCTGAGTAAAAGAGACACATGGATTTTGTAAAGAGAGCTGCATACAATGTTTGTCACAGAATGATGTGCACCTGTTTCGCATACCTTAGGGGCTCAAAAGCTCACTAGGCGCACTTATGTGTTTTAGGGATAGCATGCTTGTTCTCCAGTGCTGATCTGTTTTGAAGGCAGTGGATGCTAGCAGTGAAGTCTCTACGGTCTGGATTGTCAGCATTGAATGTGAAGCATCAATCAAGTTAAAGGACACTGCAAACATACACAAATGTACACACTCATGCACACACATGCACATACAACACCTCCTGGAATTAAACCTCAGGTTGGTGATTTGGACTATAGGATATTATTGCTGGAAAAGATTTTAAAGTCATCTAGGCCAAGCCCTCATGTTAAGAATAACCACAGCCCATAGAAAGGAAGGGGCATGTCTATAGTTACTCAGCAAGGGAGAAGCCACCAGGGATTAATCCCACTCCATCAAGCACACAGCCAGAAAATGCTCTGACAGCAAATGCTTTGCCAGGCTGTGCCTTCACAGGGGCTGGGTTGTCTTCAGTAGGGCTACCATCTTAGCTGCTAATACTTGCTTTTGACAAGGTTGGCTCTTCCACAATTTGCATTGCATCAAAGGAGCTGGACACATCCAATTTAAATTTGCAATTTATTTACATTTATTTATTGGGCTTCTCATATAAGAGAAAGCATGTGATATTTAAGCTTGTGTGTCTGCTTTATTTCACTTAACATTATAGTCTCAAGGTGTATCTGTTCTACAAACAGCTCAAGTTTATCCTTCTTTCTGGCAGGGTAGTGCTCCATTGTGTACCCCTTACTTGGGCCCCTTGCTTCTCACTACACACTCCTCCACTCGCCCTGGGTAGATTCTCTCTTGTCACATTTTCTGTAACCATTCATCTGTTAATAGACATATAGGCTGCCATTCATTCAATCTTTTGCTAAGCACCCACCTGTCAGCCAGTGGCATCTCTTGTATTGAAATACAACATTTCCTTTGCTTACACAAGGCTATGCTTTAATGCCTTTATGTGACTTATTTAAAGGTTTTTATACAGGTGTCTGTTGAACTCATGGCATGACAGACAAATGAGACCACAGATGCACTTTTCTCTGTCTTAACATTTTGTTCCTACTGTGGCCCTGGGAGATGGCTGTTATTATTGGCATTTCTCAGATGTGACTCCTGCATGTGTGTTGCTTTGGGTTACCCAGCAGGAAAGCGACCGAGGTGAGATCTTCCATCAAAGACCCTGTGTTGGGAGGTCAGAGGAGGAGCCCCTGTGTGGCTAGAGATGGTGTCGCTGGGAGTGTATGTGACTGTTCCTCCAGGTACAGGGCTGGCTGTGTTTGAGAAGCCACCCAAGGAGCAACATCAGGCAGGCAGGTGGGCCCTAGGGGAGGAGTAGGGAGCTTAGCCATGAGCCAGGGGCTAGAGGCAGGCAGCTGTCCTCAGATGTCCTAGACTCAGCCCAGGGGCAAAACTGCAGGGCACATTTGGAAAAGTCTCAAGACACTTTGGATTGGCATGAGTGGTGAATTCTACTGGTGTTTAGTGGCAGAGCCCAGGCATGCTTCCAGATGTCCTAGCATGCTCAGGACAGCCCTGCAAAGAAGAATCCTCAAGCCCCAAATGTGAGTAGTGCCTGGCTGTGAGAAGCCCCAGAGGTGGAGTCTAGAGGACCCCAATTATAGAGGAGCGGAAGGTTAGGCATCTCTTCATCTTGGGGTGCTCCTGGAGAGGGTTTTGTCCTCTGGGCTCTAATGGTTGCCACCAGCACCGTGTGGAGTTGCAGCCCTTAATGTTTCCACAGAGCAAGGCAGCTGAGTGCATTCCCTGCAGAGTGACAGGTCCACAAAGTCAGGGATGGTCTCAGTTTACTCTGGAGCTCTTGCATCTGTCCATGTGACACTGACTCAGGACAGCTGGGCCACCTGAACATCAGGGTCACCATCAGCCTCAGTTCAGCCCCAGCAGAGTCCTTCCACCTCTCAGGGTCATGTCTTGATTCTGATAACTTTTGGTGGCTTTTCTCTGAATACACCCCAATTTATTATGGATCTCATAAAAAGCAAAACTTGGGAGAGAGAAGATCGAGTTTGCTTCTTAGAGCAGAATTTGATTTAGGGCCAAGAGGGTGGCAATTGCTGCAAAGCAGAGATTGGCTATTTTGGGAGTGATGTGAATGATTTTTTTCCCATCTCTAGATGAGCTTACATATATCCTGCTTCCACCCACCTCCCACTGGGGGCTGATGGGGGCGGCTGTGCCTGGGATCCAGTGGGCGAGGGCTGCTTCTAATAAATCCATCTGACAGACAGGAGGAGAGCAGTACCTGACCATGGGCAGTGGCTGGCCCTGTGGTTCCAGGGATTTTCAGTAGCCGGCATCCTCTGTGGTCACAAGTGCATGCTTTCCTGGTCCATCAGGAGCTGGCCATTTTCACAAAGGTGCAGACAGCTGGAGCAGGTGGTCTGGGCACATCTGTCTGCAATATCAAGGGGCTGCCTCCTTCACTCTCCCTGGCTCTTCTCATTCTCTGTCCCCACTGATTGGTCAGCTTTCAGCTCTTCCCCCAGGTCACTGCCATCCCTGCCCCAGGATGCCTGTAGGTGTGTCCAGGCTCGGTTCAAATGCCCTGGATGCAGAGTCCAGGACTTGTGTTTGGACCTTGCAAAGCACACCATCCTGAACGGGTTCTTTCCACTCTCTGAGCCTCAACTCTTTAATCTGAAATGGGGGCAACATGAGTAGAACACACCTTTAGGGTTAGAAAGAGGTCTCTTGTCCTTGTGTCTGCAATCCAGGCTGCACTTGTGCTTGCAATCCCTGTCCCAGAAGGTGCAGAGGAGGTGACTCAAAGCAGGGGCACATTTTGATTTGGCTGTGTGCATCATCTCCACATCATTTCCAGGTAACGTTGACCTTTATCTCCAGGTAACGTGGCCAGCAGATGCCCCTTCTCATACACCTACACTCAGCCATCCCTGGTCCTTCCTTCCTTGGCTTTTTACACCCTGATTCTATGTTCACCCCTTTGCCACCCCCCACCCTCACCCCCAGGAGCAGGGCCTGGGGATGCCTGTGGCACAGGAGAGGGAAGGAGGGGCAGCCATGATCATTCCTACCGTACCTGGGGACTATGAAGAATAAGCTGAAACTCCAGGGTTTATTTTTCAGACTGAGTCAAAACGTCTTTGTATCCACATGGTTGGGTCAAAACATAGAGTCATAGGCAGTCACAGTGACAGGATCTGCAGAGGTCACAAGGCAGAAGAGCCACTTTCTCAGATGCTAGGTCCTTCTGCAGGCTGCGAAGCTGAGGCCAAGAGGGCCAGGGGATGCAAGAGTCCTGACCCTTTGAAGGCTCATCTCCCTCCAGGGGGCATGTCCTGCTAGAAAGAAGGGTAAGTTTGTATATTTGCAGGAAAATGGATGCACCTTGAGGCTATAATGTTAGGTGAAATAAATCAGACACATAGGCTTAAATATCACATGGCTTCTCTTATATGAGAAACCCAAGGTATAAATAAAGAGCAAAATAAAAGATAGATACTAGGAAATAGGGAGAGAGATCTTTTGCAAACGGGAGGGGGACAGGAGATGCAGAGCAGGGGGAGGGGAAGGGGATGAAGAATGGAACTAAGATGTGTTATGTTCACATACCAACTCCTTACGAGGAATGTAATCACTGTACACTGCAAACATGTCCTAAGAAAAAATAGAATTTGAAAAGATCTGGGCTCTCTGGGAGTGTCCATGCCTAGGAGGGGATGCTGAGAGGAGCCCTTCTCCCCAGTTCCTCACTGTCCACTTCTCAGTGCGTGCATCCATCCATCCATCCATCCATTCTTCCATTCATCATCCAACCATTCATCATCCAACCATTCATCCAACCATTCATCCATCTGTCCATCCATCCACCATCTATCCATCATCCATTCATCGTCCAACCACCCACCCTCCCGTCCATCCACCCAACCACCACTCACTCATTCATTCATTCTGCAAATACTTGTTGAGCTGGTATCTGTGCTAGGCTGAGGATCTTGCAATGAACAAAACAGACTAAAATCCTCCTCTTCACAGATCTCAAATTTTAATAAGGATAGGGAAGGGGGGGGGAAGGACAAGTAGTAAATTATGAGATGAACTGTACAATCCCATCATTTCGACATACAAAAGTGGTCACCTCGTGCAGTGCGATCTAATCGGAGGAGTCCACAGACGGAGTGCTATGGAGAGAAATGAAGCTGGAAGGGCATGGTTAGAAGCCCAGGGTTAGCAGGGTCTCTCTACCACTCATCTGGCCACACCATGGCACTCTCCTCATCAAGGAGTCCCAGGGTTGAGGAGCCCCAGCTCCCTTCCCGGCACTCAAGGCCCTGAAGGTTTGGTTGACTCCACCCTGTCCCTCAGTCAGACCTGGTTCCAGGAGCACAGCCTGCCGTCTGTGTGACATGGCTGCTGTCTGTGACCCTGCTGGCCCAGCCAGAGCAACAGGCCTCAGAGGTACCCTCCTGGCCTGCATGTCATGCTCTCCCCGACAGTTTTAATTGCTCCCTCCTCTGCACTCACACAGCACTTTATTACAGCACTCAGAACTGCTCTTCTCTTCAGAAGACGCCGTGATTTATTCATGCGCCTTATTAATGGGCCTCTCCCCAGGGCTGGTGCGGAGCCTGGCAGGCAACAAGGCCCTGCCCAGGTTTGCCAAGTGAGTGAGGGAAGGGAGAAACGCTAAACACTAAAAGGGAGTCCAGAAGGTGGGGACTTCAGGAGAAGGGTGAGAGGCGGCGAACTCTGAGGATGGGGCACTGCCCAAAGTTGGGAAGAAGGGGGCCCTGTGCCCAGCTTGGTCACACTTGCCCACACCTGTCCACTCCTGTCCACTCCTGTCCACTCCTGCCCATGCTCAGCCTTGTTGCACCTATCCTTACCTGCTTACACCTGCCCACACCTG